TTACTTTTTTAAACCAGAATTTAACTGGAAAAAAAATACAAAACTAGAGGATGAAGGTATAAATGTGATTATCCATATTTTTCACTCGATTTATTTATTATAAATTAATATAGAATATGATATTTATATGATTTTCCCCCCAAAAAAGATAAAGTAATGCAATTTATATAACGTGAAGGTAAACTAGAAGACATATTTACTGGTGTAGTATAAGGTGTAAAGTATAGTGTGAGCGGAAGAAAATAGGGAGGATTAGGACGCAGGGAGAAAGGCAGTGAGGCTTGGGAGAGGTTGATGGGGGTGAATAAAGGAGAGGGCCCCACGGGGGGCAGTCGTATTGGAGGAGGAGCCCACGGCAAAGAATGTGAGGCCCAAAACAAATAATCGAGGCCCATGCTTATGGTCCAATTCTCTCCACACACAAACGGAGGTCGCCAAGTCCTGACAAAAACAGCGCACGCGGTCGTTCATTCATGTCGCCTCCATGAGTCTATCTTGTCTGACCCACAGTTGAAGAAAGATACTATTGAATGAAAATATATGGCAAAATCGAATTAGCCATTGAAATGGTAGTTGTAGCATTACATCTTTCTGGTCCATCCTTTGCTTCTTCCAATTATAGGGGTCTTTATCCTCAACCTCACGCAGTCACGCTCCCTTACATGACCACGCCAATATGCCCATCAACTCACTCTTCTTTACTTTTACAGATGCTCGTGTTAACAGTTCAAATGGCAAAAAAATTAAAAAAAAATAAATAGTACGATCACAGTGCCCACTCGCAGTTGATAATTATTACTTGTTAATTTTAATACCTCTTGACCTCTATTGCTTTTAATGGGCCTTCTTCTCTGTTGACTTATTGATGGGTCCGGATCTTCTCATAATTCTCTCCTTTTTTTCTCCCTTCTCATCTCACCTAGATCGAATGGTCCAAATTTAATTATTTTTTTACCAAAAAATTTAATTGTTTTATGAAATAATTATTATATGAAAAAATAAATTCAAAAAGTTAAAAGTTTAACATGCACAGTTCATATATCATTGTTAAATCTTTTCATTTTTTTATTTTAATACAAGTTAAATTTTAATAGTTTAAAATTATTTATTTATTTTATTGAGTAATATTTGGTTAAATTAGCCTATTTTGTAGTCTCAAGTTTAAATTTTTAAAATATAAAGCCTCGTTAAATAAATATGATAAAAGTATTTTTAAAATATTTATAAAGCCATTTTTAATAATAACAATCACATATAGCAGGATTCCGATTAGTCTGTACCTTACCTGATCATCGAAGCGTGGAGATAAGATGACGAAAAGAAGGTGGGGAAAAATTTGCCCTGGAGGGACTCAGCGGGGATCTGCTTGGCTTATTAATTGTGGCAGTTACGTCGTGATTAAGATGACTGAATTAATGTAGAGGGCCCGGCGATATCCTCGTGGGCGGACCCGGTGGGCCGGTGGCGACAAAGATATAACAATATCGGGACAATAGGCGGATAAATAGCATATCAAGACCTATGAGCCCTACAGACATCAACTCATTCACTGATTTTTTTCCTCTTCATCCAGCTGGCAACAGCCCACTTGGTTTAATCTCCATCCATTTCTCCTAATCTCTTTAACCCTTTCCCCCATCATTCTCCTTAACATCGCTTTTGTATAGTTCTAGGATCATACTCTTAACATCCATACCCTTATCTTCACGAACTTTACTTATAAAAATGAGAGGGTTAATCGTGAAGCCAATCTATATAGTAACTTATGGTATCGATAGAGAAATTTGAAGAAAATCTAGACATATTAGTTATTCTTTTTTTAAAAAAAAAAAATTAACATAAGTGCGCTGCAACCTTAAAAGAGAGGGATAGGAGAAATGAAAAGGAGTGCTCTAGCCAATGGGCTTGCATCTTCCAAAATGTGTTAGTTCATTACGATATAGGACCTCTTTAGATACATGTTCAGAATCAACTTTAGGTCCAAAATTATGATTTTAAAAAATTTTATCCAAACACGTTCAATTTTTTCAAATTTCATTTGTCTTGTAAAACTCCCTTTAATATAAGTTTTTTTTTCCACTTGAAAATCAATTCTTAGCATTTGACCGTTTTTTTATTTGTTCCCTTATATTTATAATTGAATCTGAATAATTATCCAAATATTCAATTATCAAAATCAATTTTTGAAAATATTATCTAAACATCATCATGTGTTGTTAATCAATTTTTTCTATGATTAATTTTTACCCATGGAAACCCAAACACACTCACAGTGAACTAGAGATTGAATTTTTCGTTAGAAGAAATACCTACATGTAATGTGAGGTATGAATGTGTTTCAAACATAGTTGTTACTGGTTAAGAGACATCTACAAACAACAATAAAAAAGATACTTCATAGAGAATTTAGACGTGCCTCATCCGGGGAAAGGCAACAGGAACATTTGACGCATTTTTCGCTCCATCGATGGCAACAAGAGAAAGAGTTGGGAACTGATGTTAGGCGATATCAAAGATCAACTAATAAAAGCGATGGGGACTTATAACTGACTTTCTTGTGTTTCTAATATACTTTTGAAAGGATGTTCCAAATATAACACATCACAGTAATGACTAGTGAGTGCACAGCGTGGCTTGTTAGCTGAAATCTTATTTTTACTTTTTTTTTTTTTTAAGGCGAAACAATAGATAATTGTCGAAAAGGTCTTAGATCCACTGAAGGTTCTGGACCACCGTTTTGAAATTTATCAGGTTATTGTGTGCGCAGTATGCTCAAGCAGAGATAAGCCTTAACATCATGTAAAGTAGAAAATAAGAGCCGGTTTAAGGAGCTAATCTTATAGGTTTTATTTAAATAAATATTCAAGCTTTAAAAATTATTTTTTTTTAAAAAAATTGGATTTGAAGGCCTGACCTTATAAAAAAGAGCTTGAACCTGAGCAGCCTTTTAAACCTTGATAAGCTTGATTATTACACACACATATATTAATTACATAATTTAATTAATATTTATTATAGATGATGAAGAAGAAGTTGTAAAGGTAATTGACATTAAATTTTCACTTCTATCTCTAACAAGTACACTTACATTCGAGGGATCTAATATTTTATTTGTAAATGAAGAGGATTTGAATTTTCATTGATGAATGTGTATTGTTTATATTTTTAAATATATTGTTTAATTTTTAAAATATTCTGTGAATTTTAATTTTTTTAGTTTCAGAATATTTTTATTAATTTATAATATTTAATTTTATTTAAATTTTTTTATTTTTTTAATAGGTTTCCGGATCAGACCTTAAATCTTTTATATAAAGGCCAAATGTAAAAAATAAATTAAAAATAAATAATTTTAAGTACCAAACCCATAAAGATCAGCCCTTGAGAACCCCTCAGGTATCACCTCAAGTGCTGTGAAAGATAAATAATAAAAATAAATAAACACGCGGACATTTGGCGGGACAACCTTTGAACTAAACTGTTCCTTGAGCACACGTCATGGGTCCTAGCCTGCCATCATTGTCAAAATTGTCGATTGTGCTGGTTTTCGGATTTTTCTTTTTCCAAATGAATGCTGGTTTTGGATTCTGGCGTCTGGACTCTGGACGAGTGATGCAAATGCACTCACAGTCGGTCAGTCGGTGGTTATTGTATTTGTTTTCTGTTTCAGATTCCAGTTCTAGGCACCTTTTTATTATTTTCTCTCTATTCCTGTTCACTTGTCAGTTTCTGAATGTTAAATCTATTTTCTCTAATTCTTCAGCTTAATTATTACATTTTCATCTTTTAAATTAAATTAATTAAATTTTTATCTAAATCACGTTAAAATCTACTTTACAGAGATGAATAGAGTTTAAATAGCTCAAGCTTTTTAAAAATTCTTTTACAGCATGAAACCATTTTGACAAGACAAAAATACTCGACCCTGGTTCGCATCACAGCTTGGGCTTTTCGGAGGTCCGTTATACGTCGACGCATACTGCGATTTTCGGCTCGAGCTACATGAAACATGAAAATATAAGAAGGATTAAGGTTGTGGGCAGTAAAAGAAGTGGCGATGGATTTTAGCAAAAGCGGACCACCACTATAAGATCTTTCATGTCTTGAAGGAAGTGCCAAAAACACAGTGAAGATATGGGCCCCCAAAATATTAAATTGTTTCATAGCACCTATGGTCCAATTGATTTTCATTCAAATCCTTTATGTCACACGTCAGTGCCCATTTGGTTTAAATAATCCCAGAGAAAGTAATGGAATTTAGTAGCAGAGAATGTTGTGTAATGGAATGACAATTATAGAATATTTGTTCGGCATATGCCATTAAGGAATCGTATAATTTTTTTTTTTAACCAAAAGGGAATCATGGAATGAAATTTGTATATTATCTAGGAAAAATTAAAAATAAACGTGAAATGATATTTTTACTCATTCATTGTAAGGCAAAAATAGAGGGTGAAAGATATCCAAATATTTATTTATCAAGGGTATAGATGTCCAAATATTGATTCATGGGAGCATGAATACGGATAACACACCTAAAGTTATATAACGGGGATTACATAATCTGTTATGCACCGGCCAACATTAGATTACCTAAATGTGCCAATCAAATTCCATGAATCAGTAAAATGTCTCGGTGTTGCTTGTAATCCTAATTCATGCAATTGAATTAAACATGTCATTTTTTTGGGTGTCAAATGTGTGCTGGGGAAGGAAAATGAGGAATGAAAGAGATCTGATTCGAAGTTGAACTTCACTTGTTGATACTTTGACGTTGAATTGAAGCAACAATAGAAAGATTATTAACTCTTTAAAATATCAGCTGTACTGTCACTTAAAATATCAGCTGTACTATCACCACTTCCAGAATCAACTATTGCATTGAAGTACTCTTGCGTCATTTACGAATCACATCAATAACCAATAAACGAGTAAAAATCAGTAATAGAATACAGTATTTCCTAATATAACTTGATTGATGCGATAAAACCCTTAAAATCTCCGGTACGAAATTCATTTGTTAGTATGATTGATAAAGTGCAGAGAAGGCATCTACTTGATAAATGCTATCAGCAAGAGTTTAAAAAAGCAGGGCACCAAGGCAAGATGGGTCACAACTCACAACAAAGGTTCGTGAGAAAAGCCCGTAGCGGGTTATTTGAGATAGCCGAATATGGGTCTCTAAATGCCGTCGATGATGTGTGTTTTGTTTCAGAAGTACGGCATCTTATCACATTAGAAGCAATTTGATCTCTGGCGTTTTATGTTATGACTTGATGATTTCTCATATCAAGTTAATCAATACTCTTCCACTTTGTACTATATTGACACGATTTCACAAAACATAAGAAAGTGAAGAACTGAAGAGAAGGTGTCGATCAGGTGGGCAGCAAAGCGATCGAATGAGCGGATCCTGAGACCCCATCTCTATGAGTACCCATCCCTCCTGTCTTGTTCCTCAGCTTCCTTGTTAGCAGCTTGAACGGACTTGAACCACAAAAATCCCTGTTTTCAACATCAACTTCAATTAGCTGGCTCATTCTCAACTAATGGTCTCCACATTTAAAAATAAAATCACCAATTTACAATTCGTTTTGAATTCAACCCAGCAGTGGCCAGATTAAGTTGAGAGTGATGATTTGATAAAAAGAATTAGCCAAGTCTCTAATTAATCAATAAATTAATGAAATATATAAGAGAGAGATAATTATGATCAAGTAAATTATTAAAGTACTCACCGAGAAGGGAATGCCAGTAAATGCAAAGAATCCAAGCAAGGGAGCATAAAATATACTGTCGGAGCTCAGAACTCCGAAAACTGGCCTTTGGTTCACGTACTCGAATATGGAACCAATCTGCCATAAGATATCAAGCAAATTAACCAACGAGAACCACATAACAAAGGAAAAGGACAAGGACGGAAAGACATATGCTACTAAATGCAAAAGCTTACGGCGGCAATGGCGGTAATAGCAGACGCGAGTAAATAAACATAGAAGGGGATGACAAACGCTTGCTGGGAAGCATTATTGTTGGCTTCGTCCCGAGCCCAAGGTGGAGGTTCATCTGAATCTGGTTTAGCCCACGAAGGGATTGTTTCTTCTGACTTGCTTGAATCTGCAGAGCCTCGGGTCACACTCACCACCACAATTCTATTCGACGATTCCTTCTCCCCAAACACACGACGGTTCTGAATTCTAGTTCCCAAAAATATCTTTTGTCGAGGAACACCCAACAACGTTGTGTGTTGGGATGATAAACATTGTGTTCCACAACTAGAAGCGCTGATTATACTTGAATTCGGAGAAAATAAAGTCCTAGTCATGGCTTCCAATCAGCTCTTACCTACTGGGATAATTGTTTGCCACTCTTCATTTTCCGTGGGAGTGAAGAGAACTGAAAGTTCGCGGCTTCAGGAAGCTGTGCAGCCAATCAAAACCTTATCCTTAAATTTGGGCTTTAGGAGCAGTGTAAACCCATTTGGAAGATGGGCCTGATGGGCCCGCGTTGCTTGGTTTCACACGTTTTCGAAATTGGAATCGGAAAATGGGGAAAATTTTTCCCACGCAAGATTGACCGCCATTTCCATTGATTTGGTGGATTCAAAACATTTGAATCATATTAGGCCATTAGCATCTGTCCCGTCCATCCCCATCTGGCATTTGGCGTCCTATTGCTATCGACTGCCCAACCGCTCTTCTCGCTTCTTTGGCTTTTGGCTCTCTTTACTATCAGGTAATTTCTCTTCCGGCATGGGACCTCTTGTTTCAGGCCATGATGTTCGAGATTTCATTTTGATGCTCGCTTTTAAGATTCTTTTCTCTCTGTCATGTGGATTTGAAGTTGGAACTGCATTTCTTCATCTGTTTCTGGCATCAAGATTTCTCCTTTGGTCTCACAAAAATGTTAAACTAGACCCCCAATTCCTCGCTTCTTTTTTCCTCATCGACCTTCTTTGTGTTCGATCTCTCTATCATAGGTGCTGAACTACTCCTGGTTATGTCCAAACGCGTCATACAAACTATCTATCTAACTGTCTTTCTTGTTTTGTTCCGGATTTCCCCGAAATGTCTTTGCCATGTTCTGAGGAAGAAATTGACGTTTTCTTTTGTTCATCTGTTTGTTCTATTCTATAGATCTGTATGTGTTCCCCTCGTTTCGATTTATGAAATACTTAATCATGCGTTCAATATTTAGAAAATGGCGGGAAAAGGAGGGAAGGGACTTTTGGCTGCAAAAACCACGACTGCTAACAAGGACAAAGATAAGGATAAGAAAAGGCCTGTTTCGAGGTCATCCCGTGCCGGAATCCAGGTAAGCCACCACCTCTTCGGCTGATGTTACCAACTTATTCACGTTAGCTGGAATTTTTGGATACTTTTAACTGTTTGTCCTTGGCTTTAAGCGCATTGTCCTATTTCGCTGGCCTGCACTCTTTCTTGTTATTATCTTCGTAAGATATTATGGAATTCATGGATTTGTCCCACCTCTGCTTTTTTGTTAGTTATTTTTCTTGCCACAATAAAGTACTATATTCGACTGTTTCTTCGTTTGAGTAAAAAATTAAGACCATAAAAGATAAGTTATGAGGTACACAATGCTAGTAAAACAATGAAACAACATTTGTTTTTTAGTTCGGGGGGGGGGGGGGGCAAATTTCTTAGCTTCCGTCTGGGTTACTTATTTCCAGCAAATTTTTTTTTTCGGATTTTCTCTTGTTTACTAGTTTTATCTGATTCCATGCATATTTGGGTGGCATGGCGTAGTTTCCTGTGGGTCGTATCCATAGACAGCTGAAACAAAGGATCCAAGCGAATGGGCGTGTTGGGGCAACAGCTGCAGTTTACTTGGCCTCCATTCTTGAATACCTGACAGCTGAGGTTCTTGAGCTTGCTGGAAATGCAAGCAAAGATCTGAAAGTGAAGAGGATCACACCCAGGCATCTGCAGCTTGCTATCAGAGGAGACGAGGAACTTGATACCCTTATTAAGGGCACCATTGCTGGTGGGGGTGTCATCCCTCATATTCACAAGTCCCTCATCAACAAGACCTCCAAAGAATGACCAGCTTTCCCTCTGAATTCTCAGTTCGTATGGCCTGTCTTCTCATCAAGTTGACTTTATCATAGTTAGTGGTAGCGTAGGCTGTTTAATTTAATCCTTGGTTTAGAATTCAAGTGTTAGTGTGTAAATGGTCTTGGTGAATGGTGATGTTCTGTCTTTTAACTAGAGTTGTAATTGTAATGCAGTTGGTGGATGGTTTCATAGACGTTTATTCCAGCCTTTTGCGATTCTGTAACGAATTCTGCTAATGCTTATCATGGTTGTATTCATTTGGCGGTTTACTAGTGTTTGTTGCCATGATCTATTCCGTGTCTTAACAATTTCTTGGTGTTGTTATTCGTCTAAAATGGGGGACAGGGTTCTGATATGCACGGACCGTCAGTTTGATGAAAATTAAAATTTTCTTAGTTTTGGAGGGACATCATGGGGGTCCTATTTTAAAGTATTAAACATTCTATCAAAATGTGATTGATCCTCCATTTGGTGATTTGTAGTAACGAATATCGTTTTTTAGAATGTGTTTTATACTAGGGATATGAAGGAGCAATTAAAATTTTTTTTGTTTTAGTTTATTTTATGAAAAAATTACATTTTTTTGAAAAAAATTATTTTGTGAGTTTTTATTATATTTATTTAAACTTTAAAAATAATTAGAATATAAAAAAGTAGACTACTAATTATTTTAAGAAATTATTTTGAGTGATTTTTAAAAATAATTTAATGTGATAAATGAGAGAGAGTGCGACAAGATATATAAATATATAATAATTTTTTAAAACAATATAATAATAAATTATTTTTATAAAACAACAATTAAGAAAGATATTATAAAGTTTAAAAATAATTAATTAATAATTACTTTTTATTATTGCAATCAAATATAAAATGATGTTTGTTTTTTATAAATTTTTTATAAAATCTTTAAATTATTTAAAAATTATTTATTTTTTAATTTTAAATAAACAGGCTTTTAATGGATAAAAGTTATTATCTTAGTTTGCAGGCAATGGTCAAAATTCACTAAGCCTGTTATTTTTTATTATTATGTTTTGTTTTTGCTGGAAGGATCCACCTAGTTGAGGTTGAGATTTTTTTTTAAAATGGAATTAAAAAACTGCCCACCATGCTATTAGACGCGCCTCAAAAATAATTAATTAGAGAACAAGATGAATGAATGTGAAAGTTCATCCTCAGAATAGATAAGCTTATCATACCACTACAGGTGTTACCTAACAAATGAAATTAGGTAGCTAGGTCAGTAAGTTTTTCTTATTGCGGTCTTATCTTGAATATCTCCAATTTAATCATTATCGAGGAATTTTAGAATTTCACTTCCAAATTTAAGAACTTTTTACTGGGAATAATCATTTGATTAGTCAAGGTTGGCCTAGGTTTGGTTTCTTTTCTAAAAATGCCACCATAACCATAAGAGAAAGATAACGTAAAAGAGGCAAGGGAAAATTACAGAGTATCAGTTACGTCAGACAACTTCAATTCTTTTTCATAAAATTGACTTGAAAATAAAATACCATCAAAATATTTAAATGATGAATATATATAATAAAATGTGATAATTATTTTTTAATTTAAAGGATTTATTTGACATTTTGATTATCTATGAAATGACATATTTGCTCATAGAATTTAAAATGAAAATAAATTGAAATCGAATTTGACATTTGGACCCGTCGGACGCTTTGCCTCTCACCAACGTGGCGGGTAGCCGTTCTTCGATAACTTCTCGGCATCGCCGTCGTTGCTACCACAGTGGGTTCTGTTTTGTGTGCTCTGCTCTTCAGTCTTCAATTCTTCATTCAGGTGCCTTTCGATTATTCTCTTATTTAGATATTTATTTGCGTTTGATCTTCGAGCCTGAAGCCGTTCTTCAACATCAAGCTAAGAACGATGAGTAATTAATAGCCTAGAATGCTGACGACAGAAGCCATGGTGGGGAGCGGCCGGACGTGGAAGGGAGAGGGATGAGTTCCGAAGGCCTGGATCTGAAGAAGCCGTGTCAAGCTGGGTTGATAAAAGCGGTCATGGAGTGTTGAGACGTGAAGAAGTTAGGAGCTATGTTCATAATGATCAAGATAGGGATTATAATATGAAGTTATGAACTCTATGAATTTCAACGCGGACGGAGGTTCGCTAGTGTAGAATAGAGATAAGCAAGACCTGACAATTTTTGTCACAGATCCAAGAGATTAAGGTAGCAGAATTCTTGGATCAGAGGAGCTAAGGTTTCAAGAAAACTTTCAGGAAGATGGTGAGATATTGGAGGGGTTTATGTACACTGATAAGTGATAAAAATGAGATGCTTCGTCCATGGTTCCAAGATCGGGAAGTTATATTTGGACCTGAAAGGAGTGTCAGGACCGAGATTCATCACCCTCGACGTCTGAACCTGCTCCATGCATCTCACCGGACAATTGGCTCTTGTGATTTTTTCTTTTAAATTTTTCAGGGATAAAATAATATTTTCATATTGAAATTAATTGACAGTTTAGCTTAAGAGACTAAAAAATAATTATTATATTTTGTGATATTTAATTATCATTTGATGTTTTAAAAGTTTTTTTTTTCATTTTCTCGTGATTTTAACATAAGGAACGTTCAAATTATGAAATTATGCATTTTTTTGTTTTTTTTTCCTTTCAAAATCTATGCTCTCATTCTCTTAAACCAAAAGATAAAATAAAAAAGTATCAGTAATCTTAAATTTATAATTTTCAACATCAAATAAATAATAGTAAAAAAATTAATTTTTGTGTAGAAAATTAATATAATTTTTAAATATATTAATATAATATTTTAATTTAATAAGCTTTAATATACTTTCATTATAAAATAAATTGTATAATTTATAATGAATTTAGACTTAAATCAGACAGTCGAATCATCACTCGACATGAGAACCGATTTAGTGGTTGAGCCATTTTGACATAATAAGAATCGACAGTTATTTTAGCCAATCATTGTTAAAAAAATCTAGAATCAGAATGATTTTTTGAAAATCGGGCAGTTTATTCATAATGAGATGTATTTTAAGACAAAAATATCCATACCATACTGTTTGCACTTAAATTGTGAACATAGAGGCCTTAGCCCAACTCAGCTTAATTAACTTTAAAATAATTATATAAAAAAAGAATATTTATGAAGTCTTAGCCATTAAGTTAAGATCATCACTCATGATGAGTGAATATGATAGAATAAGTGCTTTTTAAATTCAAGAAAACTGACGATCATGGGGCTTGGGCACCAAGCTAGGATCATCTATAAATAGAGAAGCTCTCTCTCAACAATCGGAATTAACATCAACAAACTACCAGTCTCAGACTCTGCATCTGTTACTTTATTTTTCTTTTTATCATGTAGCTTTAGTCTTTATTTTTCGTTGTATGGCCGGCATAGTCCACCACTCTTTTTCTTTAATTAATGTATCTTTGCTTATTTGCATCTACATTAATTGTTTTCACTTCGCGTTCTCACATCTAGGTGAACTGTGATAAGGGAGCCCATGTTCTCCGTGTTTGATTAGAAGTCAGGTTCTTCCATCCCTTTGAGACCCTGCATCTCTGGCATGCCTTGTGACACCACGCATTAATTGTTTGTTTTTTTACGAACAATTTTTGGCACGCCCAGTAGGACTCGTGTAAAAGAAATGCCTAGGACACATAAGGATTAATATGTTGTTGGAAATAATAACCTGAGTCTTATGATTCAAAGAATGTGGCTGCATGCGCAGAACGTGAAATACAAGCTAACGAGAGACAAAAAGCTTTATTGCAAACTCTGAAGGAGGGGTTAAGGAACATTCCTGCTATGCTGTCTAGATCGTCACAGGAGCAAGTTCCAATTGGCTCGCAGTTTCAGAGAATAGGTGGACTCAGGCGGCAGTCTCCTAAAGTGCCCTTTGACTAAAAGATTAATAATGATGACCATTATAACATCCCTTAAAAGATAAATGGCAGGTCTAATTTAATAGCAGGCTCGTTCGGCTAGAAGGGTAGAAGCCATCGGGACCAGCACCATCGGAGCCGAAGCCATTGGGGCCAGCACCAAAGGGCCCGGAGCCACATAGGTCGAAGCCATCGGGGCTAACACCATTGGGGCCGAAGCCATTGGGCTAGTACTAGAGGGGCCGGAGCCACAAGGGCCGAAGTCATTAGAGCCAGCACTATTGGGGCCGGAGCCATTGGGGCTAGCACCAGAGGGACCACAGCTGTAACATCCCAATTTAAATTTTAATAGTTAATTTGGGTTAATAGAAATTTAAAAAAAAATAATATTTAGAGGTAAGAAAATAAGTAAGAGATGATTATTAAATCTAACTTAGGATATAATTCTAAAAAAAAATTAAAAAAAAATTAATTTAAAAAAATAATAATTAAAAAAAATTAAAAAAATATTATTAAATTATTATTATAATAAAAAAGGGAAAAACGTATTAAAAAAAAGGGGGAAGAAGAAGAAGAAGAACCCGCGTGCCATCATTATATATATATTATAATAATAATAAAAAAGGGAGAGAGGAGAGAAGAAATAATAAAAAAAAGATGTGGGACCCACTGAATTTTTATAAAACTCACCCGTTTCCTTTCATTTCTTCAATTCTTTTCCTGTGCGCGAGCTGAGGCGGAGAGAAACGAGTCGCCGGTGCAAAATATCTAAATTTTTAAGGTAAGAGTTTTTAATAGGATATTTAGGGTGTGATTTTAAGCTTTTCAAGACTAAGTAAGTGTTCTAAAATTTTTTCTTAGTCATCCTTCTTCTTTGGTTTCTGAGTTTGTAGTGGTAGAAAATTTAAGATCTGGAAGAGGGATGAATTTATGTTGAATAAATATGATTTTTGAGGTTGTCAGTAGTATAATAAATGTTCTAGAGTATAAATTTATTGATGATCTTTGAATCTGTGGCTTATGGATCAAATTCTAAACTAGATCTGAAAATATATGTTGATTTATTGAGGTTTAGATGATTATTTGGGACGAGAAATGAATTATTATGGTTATAGGATTATGATTCTAAGCTAGAGACTCAATTTTTAATTTTTGAGTATTTTAGGTACGAATTTATGAAATAAAAAGAAAATTTTGATAATAAAAATTAGTTTAGAAGTTGATTTTTAGATTATTAATGTTTATTGATAATTAAAAGAGGAGTTAAAAATTTTACTTAATAGTATTAACTATAGATTTGTATTAAGATTGAGATTAGGAATTATGTTATATTTTTAATTCTATTATTAGAATTATTTTATTAGTTTTAAAAAATTGAAACTAATATTTATAAATAATATGT